GTATTCAGTTATCATGCTTAAACGTCAGAAATCACTTATTTTAAACACAAATACACGTGTATTTTATAATCTTTGTTCTCAGTAGTGCTTTAAAAAAGCAACCGAGGACATTAATTAGTAAGCCAGGCCTGCTCTATTGTGGCCAGAGCAATTGCTGGGGAAAGCTAATAGCACATTGTACGTTCACTTTTATATTTCTTAAGCATACCTTCATTTTTTAAAACAATGGACTATTTATTAAGTGGAAATGAACGCTGTTATAATTACTTTAAGCTTTGTTCTGAAACTTAATTTAAGTTTGCATATTAAATTGTACATGAGGATCAATTACTTATTAACTAGCTGTGGATTGCAGGTTTACTTGCCACAGTGATGTTGGCGTACGAAAAATAGTACTATCAGGGACTGTGGCAGTGTTTCACTTTGAAAGCTCCAGTCGGTTGAACGATTTTAATTCATTGAGATGACAAAATAATTTGTAGGGCACAGCTTATAAATGTGTCTGTGCGAAAAGAGGTCGGTCAATAATTGTTGTTTATTTTTTGTTTTCATTGGTTAAAAGTAAAAATAATAATAAAAGACTTAAAGCACTTCCTATATCTTACTAATATTATAAATTCGAATGTTTAGATGGATGGATGTTTGTTAAAATTTGTAGCCTAAACGGCTGAACGGATCTCGATGAAATTTGGCATAAATGTAGAGTATAGTCTGGGAGAATACAAAGGCTACTAATTTTTTTTAATTCCACGCGGACGGAGTCTCAGGCGAAAGCTAGTATTGTTATAAGTCAGATAGTTTTCAATATATATAATCTAATTTATTAAGTACTTCTTACTATAAAATACTAAACCGCACAAAACAACGTGTAAGCAATGTGTTTGTATTGTTATAATAGCGCAATTAAATTGGTTACTTCGATTTATAACCCAAGACAGTCGGCTTGTACGTCATCCTATTAACCTCCCGGAACTATGACGCTAACTAGATAAAGTGTACTTATAGAAGTCGTTTGGTGAGTACTTAAACTCTAACTACCTTCACTTCAGACGATATGCTGATGGTTAGAGAGCACGATAACTATTAACAAGTATATGTGTAACTTGAATATGCCTTATTTTTTATACAAAAGGTAGCAAACAAGCAAGCGGCCACCATAATCCGCCAAATTGGCGAAGCGATCGCTGCCCATAGACATCCGCAATTGCAAATGCGTTGCCTACCCTAAATCAACGGAGGAGGAGACGCACATAAAGTACATACATATCTAGATTTAAAAACCTATACTAGTAGCCTATGTGCATAGACTATGTCTACGTCTATGATAAATTTCAACGACATACGTTCAGCCGTTTTGGAGACAGTAAGAAACATCTATTCCTCCAAATTTTCACATATATTATATTACTAAGGTTTGTGAATTAATTGCTTCTGTTAAACAACTACGCTAGTATAGAACTGTTCACTTTATACTCGCCTTTGTATTTGTTTTCCTTCCTTATAAGAACGTCGAATAAATTAAAATAGTGTAAATATTGTACTGCACAAATCATTTACCGAGCATTCAATTCTTCCATCTATTTCATTCGACCAAAATAAATTTAATGATTCGTTAGTCAAGTTACTGCGGTTAAGGGGCAAAGAGGCAACGGTTTATCGGATTTCCATTTAATTTGTAAATCTGAACGCAAAATCCATGCTCATAATACACGGCTACATACTTCATGTTCAATTCACTGAACACAAAATACTCATGAACGTTGAAAATGGCAGGTAAAAAGGTTTTATGCGGATTTACAATAGTGTACTCAGGGGAAATTTCTCACCACTTTATAATGTTCCACTTGACGTGGTATGCAAATATTTTTCAATTCCACATATTATGCAGTTTCTTTAGACGACTTATTAATTTTCTTCATTTATATACAAAACTTTAGAAACATGTACACTGCATAATTAATTTTAAAACCGAAGGTCTATACAGGTTTTTAAAATTTACAAATGCATAAATATTTACAGCAATACAATTTTAACTGCTTAAAATATTCCCATAAATAATCTGAACGGGTTTTTAGGAGTAGACTCTTGTTGATAAAAACAAAACTTAGCTTAGATAATTAAGACCCAATAGCATACTTTGTGGTTTCTTAGGGACCGTACACACTTGTTTTAAGATCAATTTCATACGCGATAAAAACATCTTGACTCCACTTCCAGTGGAAACACTTTCGATCTGTCTGAAAGGACCTTTAAACCTACAATATATGGGATTATAATAAACATGTAATGTAAATGCAATCAAGATACACCACAAGATATATGTTAGTGTGTCAATGAAATGTACTGAGAACACAAACTAATGTTAAAACCATATTAAATGAAGCTCAGAGTTTCGTCGTCAAGTACGAAGCGTGCAGATATAACAAATTGCAAATGCCGAGTACACAAATTAAGTTTTGGAAAGTTTCCAAACGTGTGTTATGTTACATTGCAAAACATGAGCTAATCGTCAAAGTTAATTGCCACTGCTAATATAACACAAGGATTTTCGACGCTACATGTAAATACGACCATGTTGATACTTACAACAGTTTTGCATTTCCTCATTCTGATTAATCTAACTTTACTTTGTACCAAAACTTAAAGTCATACGTATTAATTTGCGCACTAACTTGAACTTGATGATGTTTTCTTACACAAGAAAGTATTAAGAATGAATGTGGCTACATAGGTAGAGGAAGACCGAAGAGAGGATGGATGGATTGTGATAAACGATATGACGAAGGGAGTGGATTCAGATATGACGGTTGACAAAGATGTATCTTGATCAGTGCATAATGTGCCAACTCTCCGTATTACTGGACTGAATTACGTAACTTGATCTTTACTTTGTCTCAGTTTACAATCTGATTTCTTTTTCTGTCTTCAGCGCCATCTAGTTTGTAAAAAAATAATTAATTGGCGTAAAATGTTCTCTTAATTTTAATTAATTTCTTGCCTTCGTCTACTTTAAAGCACATTTTACTTTTATTTCATTTCTTATGTTTATAAGTAGTCTATCTAATATTAAAGTTATAGAATACGTAGCATATAAGCACAGTATTCCATTTCCTGTTTAGCAAACATAGCGAACTTATGAATTAACTTGCGAAGTGCGGAAAGTGGGTTTCATTTTGTTGTGTAAACATCAAGTTTCCAACAACTTGTTATACCAGCAGTTTCATTCTAATTATAAAACTACGTATATTTCTTAGAGCCTTTTATATGCGATATAAACCAAAAGTTTAAAAACATTTTGCAAAATTTTCTAGGAAACAAAAAAAAACATTGTTGTAAAATCAAGTTAAAAGCAAGCTCCTCTTATACGCCAAATTTATTTTTATTATCTGTATTTTTCAAGTGATATGTATTTGTGCTTATTATTTTACAATACGTAATGTGCAGGGAATGTTAGTCGTGTAAATACTGATCACAAAAAGAGATGGCGCTTGTATGAGTTTGTGACCGGCTTATCAGCTCATATTGTCCACAGTTTCATTAATTTAAATTTAACTCCAGTCCTTTGTATAGGACAATAAATCTGCTATTTCTCTTTCATACCTTAATCGATAGATTCTTTACCTCGAAATTAAAGTAATATTAAAGTACCAAAATCAGAAGGTTTCTTTAGTGTCTTACATTCATAGACTTCAATTGAAAAACGTTTGTTTGTCTACTTTCGTTTCATTAGTCTGTTGGCAAACTGTTCCCGTTTATTAACGAATCTAAATTGCTTTTTCAATTTCCTCTGAACATATCTGGGGTACGAGTAATGCTCTCTAGAAATTCTAAAAATACTTTGTTGATTTAACATAAATAACACACTATATATTTTTGATTTAAACAAAAGCGTCGTCAACCCATGAACTAGGCTAGGTCTAGGGAGCACTTACCATTAATATGGTCTTATTCGTAGGAGTTATTATAATTGTTTTTCATTTCTATAGAAGAGAGAGGACGACAACTCCAAATAAAATATCTAGAGAAATATAAAGACAGTCTAAGAATGCATTATGTAGCTGGAAAATGAAAATAACTAGTGAAACGTATTCATTTAATCTTTTTGTATAAGAAACATAAAAGGAAAGAGTTAGCTTTGAATAAAAAAGACAAGGGCCAGTAATGTCGAAGCATGTGCCAAACTCTCATTTACGTAATTCCTTTCATGTGTTTTGAGCTAGTTAAATCCCAACGCCTTAGAACGGGCGCACACCTTAGACTAAATTATCGCACAATTACTTTGCGATTGTCGATTGATTTGCAGTCAATTCAAATGTTTAGTTGCACATCTAAAAATAGTGTGCACCATATAAGCTCAAAGGAATCAAAGCGCAACTAAAAAGTAGTGCTATAGTTTAGTCTATTATATTACCTGTCCGTATTCTGTACCGGAGGTTATAATGCAACGACTGTTGCAACGTTTGATGATTTATTTAGAAGTTAGTCCAATGTTTTATTCTCTGTGTTTGCACTGAGATGCATTTTATGAAGCTTTTTACCGTCGAAATGGAAAATTGCTGTTTTATGTAATTTGGGTTAGTGATTAACTTTATGGTTCCTAATGGTAATGTAAATATGTTGATTGCATTTTAAAAGTTATCTGTTTAAGAAAGTACTGGTGGTCTTATGATCAGTATTTACTTACGTTAACAGCATAAATTTTATGAAGAATGTAAGTAGAATGCATAATACATGAATCATAGTTTGTATTTAATGTAAGTTAGTTGTAAGTCAAAAAAACAGTCTTAAGATAAATAGAATGTAAAGTATACATTCAAATATATAAAAATGTGGGATTGATAAAGTTTTCTCGTTACTAAATGAGGTCGTGCAATAAATTTTCCAACTGCACTAAAATTTTTGATGAACAAATAAAATTTAATGAATGACTTTATTTGTAACTGCGTGTAATAATGACATATATCATATTTATCTCTGTGTAAATGAAATATCTACTGCCATTATGGGACCAATTTAATGAGATGTAATTTAAAATTTGTACCTGTAAACACGTATAGGTTATTTTTAACAGTGGTCAATTAAGGCATATAATCAGTATTAGCCTGTATTAAGTCTCTTTTTGGACATTGGCCTATTCGAATGCATTTCATAGACTTGGACTATGGATGAAGGTTTTTTCCAATTTACTTAACCCTTAAGTTTAATATCGTGAAATTATATAGCCTAAAGCGTGTTGTAAGTGTGGGGCTTTTAATTAAAGAAATAATTAATCAAAAATATGCTGTGATTTTTGACATCTTACGCCACGAAGAAGGGTGTGTTTACGCCTTATTATAGTAGTATGGATGATATAGATGTTATAATAAACCTTACAACATAGGTACTGTATTATCTTTTACCATTTTGAATGATATTATTGCTTCTTCTCTTATTAACCGTATTCTTCAAACGTAGAAGAAGACGCTTACGCTGAGAAATTACTCTAAAGAAAACATTAGTCACTTACTTGTGGCGCTTACTTCTGGTCCCAGAGACTCGAAAGCTTTCCCGAAGCTGAGCTTTAGCAGACGATCGGAATCTGAAAGAAGCCATCTAGTGAGAATGTGGAAAACGACAAGTACAAATTATTTTCACTCTTTCCCGTTAGATGGCGCTGTTCAATTTTATTTTACTGCCATCTTATGGCAAAACATCAAAACTGAACTGTGAAAACTCGCAAGGAAATCTGTATACCAAAAGTAGATGGCGCTAATGTCACTTTTTAAATAATATTATGGACTTTTATTTTCTAGTTTCAGATTACAAAAAAATAGAAACGTTGATTTTTCACAAAGTTACATTTATGTTTTTACGGGTGCACTTAAACTGCAAATTATTTCAATCTACAACTACGTTAGATATTTGCTGCAAAGTGAGCAACCAAAAGCCTTCTGGAACTTGGCCAATATCTCTATTCATAGTTCGGGACCTCGTTGTATGAAGTAGCTAATTAAGTTTTATTGGTACCGTATACAAAGATACGAGTTAGTTTTAATGTACAAAATACAGCTTAGAAATTGCTAAAGAATATTGAACCAAAATTGCAATACATACAAAAAGTACATACGTCAAAGCTACTATTGCTACCATTTAATTAATTATGTGTACATTATCATCATCAAGTTGCTCTTTGCTTACAGAGGGTCGACACAGTATATGCTGCTACTCCATACATCTCTATCAGCAGTCTATTTACTCCCTTCTCTAACATATCCTCCTTCATACATTCTTTATTCAGTCTTCCTCTACCATTGTACCCATCAATCAATCTTAATATTTTCTTATTTATATCTTCTTCCTCTAAATAGGCGATGTTAGTTTATGTAATGTACATAATATCTAAGTTTAATAATTGCTTATGTTGTATCTGCGATAATCCCTAAGGTCTCGCCCTAATAACCGAAATGGTCTGATCAAACTTTCATGGAAATGACTTCCTAACTTCCTACACGATTTTATCACATCTTATTATTACAGATGTTACAATATTAAGGTTTTGTTATTATTAGCGCTGTTAAACCTGGTGATCTGGATTCAACAGAAATTGACTTATTCCTAACTTTCTTTCTTTTATTACCAATCCAATTGCTTAGAATTGTTTGCATTTTAAATTTGTGGCATTAACAGACCTGCAGCGGTAGAATCCGGTGGCGGTTGAAAATGGAAAGTGGCCGCGAAGCCTTGGCCCGGCGTAGCGGAATTAGCGGTGAACTGCAGAAGGAGATATGGTCCCGTCGAGAGGACTTCATAACCTGAAAGAGATAGAAGAAATATAAAAAATTAATACTCGTCATACAAATATATAATGTTTTTTTGGTTGATTTCTGATTCATTGATATCCTTTAGAAGCAATATATTGCATTGCTCGTGTTAAATTTAGTGTTCCTTACATTCAGAAGACGATTGTGATTTTCTTGTTAGGATATGACTTTTACAGAAATTTTATAAGAGTTTATGATCATGTACTCTAGTTATAGGAACTTAATGGTAATTTCTCGTAATGTCGGCCTTCAGAACCACAAAGACCTTAATCGCCGGAGTCGTTATCCGTTCACCTGACTTAGCTCAGTAAGCTCCTAACGCAGAACGCTGACAAAGCCATTTCTGCAAATGGCGGACCGTGAACTGAACTATAGTAAACTTATAGCATTCCAATAGCGCACAAAGTTTATTCCTTTGATACCAGATTGTTTCTATGTTATAGACGAGCGGAAAATAAAAGCCTTTATTTACAGAATATAACATCCATCATGGACAAAAAGGTCGAGACAAATAAAACAAATACATATTAAATGTATCTGAAACCGTTATTTTTATACAATTGGATATATTTGTTTCAATGAATATATCCAGTTACGATACTAGATATAAAAATTTGATATGTGTGATTTGTTACACATAAAATTTGAACAGTAATAAAGAAATTCAAAATTGATTTCAATCTGATTTGATGTACAGAATTTATTGCAAAGAAATATTTTATGTTAAGAGATATAAACTATGAATTACTTCTAACGGCTGCACATTTGTGACGGATGCTATAAAGATTGAAGTTTTCCAGGAGTCTTTAAGGTAATCATAAATGTGATTAATATCGTTGCGAAGAGACAATAAAAAATACCTAGCAGAAACATAATCCAATGTACGAAAACAACTAACCAATGTCAATAAAAATAAGTTTAAACGGCATCCTATAGGTCAAAGATCTACGGCTTAGCAATGTTTGTATCAAATTCAGAACACGTTAAAACAAAGAATAAAGAACTCGATTAAAAAGTGAACCAGAGTAACCTTTGCATCACTATCAGAAGTTCAGAACAAATACAATCTTAATAAAAAGTACAAAAAAGAATAAAGAAATGTCAAACTATCTAGAAACTAATTCCCAATTTTTTATTGGATTTATGAAATTTAAAGGTTCATGAATACTTTACTGAAACCATATTATATAATTATGTTGCATGAATGTTGCACGTGTTGATAAGTAAACTATCGATTCTCCACGACCAACTACCTGACACTCACTGGTCCTTTTCGGAATGAATAATGTCGCCACAAAGTAGCACCAACTTAAGGTTTCAGGGTTGCCACTTTACTTATCTTTTATTGTAAACCAACGCGAGAAGATCGGGTAACCTTATACTCTTCTATTCATCAGCATAAAAACATAGTATTATCTCTCTTATTTTGATGAAGATGTTTGCCCTATCGAGGTGGTTCACTTATTTGATTATTAGGGTAGACTTATTATTGTGATGCACAGCATAAGTTTAGCACCGTAAGCCTCGTCTTTTACGAGTAGGTCTATATTTTTGACCAAAGAATATTGAATAGATAGAGATATAAGCGGCAACCCTGTCGGTTATTGTCCCAGTTACGATACGCTGTGATTGCAAGAAGCCACCTCCAATACCTAATTCTCAGGTTTTCTGTATTCAAACAATGTCTCTAGTTTTGTGGCTTACGCATTGTAAGACTTGAATGTGCAAATAAGACCCACAAGTTCTGCTTCGTAAAAAGCCCGAATTGTGTCAACAATAAAGGGTTTTCAGTCCCTAAGTAATAAATTGGAATGGCCGCTTCTTTTTACAGTCTGGGATCTTTTACATTTTGTTTATAAAGGCAAAGGCGTATATGGACCCTTATATTGTTATCAATATAAGGATTATTATTTTATGTGTATTTTATTGATCCATTTGGTGAAACTGACTATCATTCATCAAAACATTCGTTTGAATTGGAACGTGGTTTTGTTTCAATGGTTTTGAATGGCTGAATAGAACCTTACCTTAGCTTCTCCATTAGTGAATGGTGTATTGACCTGATAGCATTTTCAAATATGACTACAGATTCTTGCAATACATTTTAAAGTAATCAAACTTTTGAGTGAAACGTAACGTATCGTGGTAACGTTTTAATCATTGTCAAAGTTAAGAACGCCGCGGCCGGAAGATGGCGTGGTATCTTAAGTAGCGTTTAATCTCGAGCATCTCGTGTTTTGGAGACGTTAATCCATTAAAGCGGATGATCCCTACAGCATCGGGTTTGTACTAAAAATAATGTACAATCGTAAAATTAAGGCTCAACATATCTACCACTTCCTCCGCTTTCAGGATTCAGAATTGCTGATTTTAATTTGAAACGTAATTACTGCACGTTTACATATACATTTTGTCAACTCTGATATATCAAATGACGCCGTATTCTTGTTTTGTAGTACTTAAAATTTGAGGTTGCAAAATTCAAATTTTTTTTTGTAGCAAATGTAATAATTGGATGATCCACCAAACAAGGAAAAGGGCTATTAAAAGGAAAATAGAGGATAGTTTTGCATATCCTAGATACTTGTAAATCAAAATGAATGAAGTTCAACTAAAATATTCCATTAGTTCAAGAATTGCATCAGCAAAACAAAGCGCGCAGGTATACTAACGAATTGTCGTCGCGGCTGCAGAACTCGCTTTAGCACCGGCAATTCATCACGAAAGTTAGTTTTGCTCTAAGAATCTTTGCGAGTACCTCGGGGAGAATATTTCTTCCAACTTTTGAGATTGGAACGTTCTCTTTCTGTACAGCTATAAATCGCACGCGATAAATATATGTCAAGGTGAATGAATTAGACTTACTTTAAGTTCAAATTAAGGTGTGAAATTTCTAGTTTCTAATTTGATTTGTTTTATTATTTGAGCGAACAAACTCCAATGAACTACGCACGTTCTATAAGAAGACATTCCATAGTAAATTTAATGTGTCTTATTGTTTTCTTAGCGGCTTTCTATGACTTGTAAATGTTAATTTATTAAGACCGTTAACAAATGAAATGCAATAATACATTTTTCTCATGTATTTCTTATAAAAATCTTATTACTTTTTACTCATCTTTTTTGATCGTTTCTCTTAGTATTTTGCTCTTGGGAATCTCTGTAACAACAGTCGGAAAGGTACTTAATATATGTCACAATGAGATATTATAACGCCCACGTTCCCTGCCTTCTTGTATCTATTTTCCTTATGATTTGTCTCGTGTGTACAGGAGGACTCATAACCCTATTTCTTTACGCGTATCTCATATTATGTAACTTCACTTTTTTATTTATCCGACTTATAAAGGTTGAGACTTGAGATATTGTGACAGTAAATTGTTTTTTATTCGTTTAACGATTATTGAAATGACATTTATATATGTAACAGCGTCTTAAAGACCACGCTTAGACATCCAATTTAATAAACGTTCTAACGTCTATCAGATTGTAAGAGCGGGCGCTTTCGAAGTGAAGTGTTTCTGATTCGTTTCAGAGTTCAGTCGTTGGTCTTTTATAATCAGTATCTTAATTGTTCTAAAAACTTGTATGTTCACTAAAAGACAGTTTACGTCAGTAGAGTGAAACATGATTTAAAATAAAAAAAAGCTTCGTTACCTGACAGCTCATTGCAAAGCATAGCTATTGCTGGCGCGTTCGTGTCTCTGCCGTCAAACACCTTGATGATGTCAGCACGTTGTAGACAACTGGAACCACAGAGTAGAGTTAATGCAGTTAGACAATGCTAGTCATTAGCCATAAAAAGTGTTACCTATACTGACGTATTCATCAGTGAGTAAGCTCTTTGCACCTAGGAAAATTCTTTAATCATCGTTAATAAATGTGCTTTTTAAACTTTTTTTTAGAAAAAACTTATGACGTCTAAGAACCAAAGAAATATAAATGCGAAAGTTTAGATGGAGGGATGTTTGTTAGAGTTTGTGGCCTAAACGGCTGAATGGATTACAATACAATTTGGTACAGATGTGGAGAGAGTTTGGAAGAACACATAGGTTATTTGCATTTGTTTTTTTTAGTTTCGCGTGGACGGAGTCGCGGCGGAAATCTAGTGTTTAATAATTAAAATATGACAATGATAGTTGAAGCAGTCATTGAGATAAAAAAAGTGCGATTGTCGATTGTTTCGCAGCCAATTCAACTGTTTAGATGCACAACTCAGAATCGAATAGTGTGCGCACCTTCATAAGCTCATAGAAATCAAAGCGAAACAGTTGTGCGATAATTTAGTTTCAGATTTGCGCACGCTCTAATAAAACCGGCTTGTTTATTTACTGTTAATGCAGTTGTATATTGTAATTATAAGCCAAATGTAAAGCAAATTGAATTCTGTATGCGAGGTGAACCGCGCTGCGGACGGTCCCATAGCTGTGTGGTTGTGGTCGTACAATAATCGCATACGAGGCTCATATATCAATCAGAGCGTTTAGGTGTAATTTAACGACATTTAATGCAAAATACGCCGCGAGGTCGAACGCTAATTATTGCTAGATTTGTTGTTGTTTTATCGAATGAATAACAAATTCCAATCCAAGTACGAGTATACAATCGAACGCATAGTTTTATTTAAGTTTTGTTTTAATGGGAATTGTCCTACTAGAACTTTATGATTTGTATCTTTTTTCAGTTGAATTTTCTCTGATTTTTAAACTCCCTGAACCAAAACCAAAGATCACCTAAAATAGTTTTATCCGTTTATTACATAATTGCATATTTTGAAAGAAGTAATTTTTGTTAGTTTCACTCATGTTAAACATAGCTAACCATTTTTACATTTCACGAATTTTCAGTAATTTACTGGCGTTTGTTTGCAGTTTTTCATTTGGTATGAAATAGTATTTTTAACAGTAATTTGCATTTCAACACGCTATTGTGCGAATGTAAATTTAGTTTGTACGCAAGCGATAGGTTTTTTCGCGAAATCTGTTGGCAACCGAAAAATTTACATAACTATATCATTTTAAATTTAGTGTTGCGTTTTAAAATATTACTGAGTATGAAAAAGTTAGAATAACCAAAAGGTTTAGTGAAACATTCATAGCATAAGTGTTATGGTTGATGATTTTTTTTATAACATAAGGTGGCAAACGAGCAAGCGGCCACCTGAATCCACAGATGTGGAAAGCGACCGCTGCCCATAAACATCCGCAATTGCAGATGCGTTGCCTACGCTTCATCGACGGTAGAGGAGACGCACATAAAGAGGATTTTTCCTCTTCCTATGCATCTCCTCCTCCGTCAAATCCACTTCCCCTTCCTATCCTCTCCTTATAAGAAAAGGGTGGTAAAGAGAAAGGGACTTAAATTAGGCCTCCGGCACCACACTCATCAGACGAAACACGGAATTGCTTCCATTTCACGCCTGTCTTCTGTGTGGTCGTGGTATTACACCGCGCGTGCCGGCCCATTCGTGTTAAGATGTTAAAGCGGGCACTACCACTGTTAAAATTATTTTACAAATTTGTCTCTTATTAGTCAATAGCTTGGTCTTTGTATAACAAACAACACTAACATTGTAATACGACTAATATGGGATCATGATGCAGAAATAACTCAGAAGAAAATTCAAGATAAAAACGAGAGTCATGTTTAACTACAGGGCTATTTTACAAACTGCTCTTGTCTATTACTTTCTAATTATAAACGCGCGTGCCTCAAAGACCACAAACAATGTGTCATTACCCAAAGGTCCGGGTTGTTTGTCTTAATTAATTCCGTCTTCGTAATAACATTTGCACCGAATAGTTTAACTAGGGTTAATTTACTTACTTCAGTATCAACTTGACTCGGTACATAATTTCTCGTGTACCAGCATTCCTGTTTCCTGGTACACCAAGTTCTAAATTCTCAACAGACACGAGCGTGTAACTACCTAGCTTAAATACTTTGTTGTTCGGCTGATAAATCCTGATTAAAACACGATTAGTTTCGACTATGGGATAAATAGGTTTGACTTTAATTCCGATTTAGATTTATGCCTATTCCAATATCGATTTTATTGTATATACAGTTTTTAATTTATGACCAATATTCTGTGAAAAATGCCAATCAAATTGAAAAATCTTACTTATATTTATGCAAAAGTTTAGATGGATGTTTGTTAGAGTTTGTAGCCTACACTGCTGAACGGATCTCGATGAAATTTGGCATAGATGTAGAGCATAATCTGGAAGAACACTTAGGATACTATCTTTTTTAACTTAACGCGGGCGGCGTCGCTGGCAAATGCTAGCAGTATTATATACAACTGTTATAGTAATTTAAATTAAAACCGTTATGAAAATCGTGTTATAAACGCACTGTCTACCGCTGCTCAGGAACTTTTGTTATGTTTCCATCTAGTAAAGTAATTAAACTTAAGGGATGCGAAGTTGGCGTTGCTTTAAATTATCTTCTTGGTATAATAAAGTTTTCTATTTTCTTTTATTACCTGAGAGTTTGATTTTGGTCATATTTAAGTAATTATAGAATAAGGAATAAGCGTAATAAACACAAATAATCAACAATAATTTCTCTTTCTGTTATTAACTTTTAGTAAATTTAAAAAAAAAACTTAGTTAAGATGTACCAAGTAGATGTATATTATATTTGTTTATTTGAAAAACAACTACATATTCAAGTTTATTCGTTGGTAACACTATAATGTCTCACGGAAATTATAACAATACGATTTTTTTATCTATACTGATATTATAAAGAGGAAAGATTTGTATATTTGTATGTTTTGAAAAAACTCAAAAACTACTGGACCAATTTAAAAAAAATCATTCACAATAAGAAAGCTACGTTCTCGCTGAGCAACATAGACTATGTTTTAAAATTTCACCTAGACATAGTCGCGAGCAACAGCCGGTAAGTTATAAATTAAGATGATTTTATTGTAATCGTAATTCATAAATAATTGAAATTACTTTGAAGTAAATCAAAACCGATATTTCTCGTTAACACCAACTAGGTGGAACGCAACCCGCCGCAAAGCGGCACGCCCATGCATTATTCGGTTAATTAAACAAGTAGATATGGTTTATAGCTTGCCCTCATTAACGGAAGCGGCGCGCGCTCGTTTCATTTATAATTCATTTTGTGCCGGCTGCATTGTCGACGTGGGAATGCTAATTTAATCGCGATCTTACTACGAATCCGGTTGGTGTAACCAGAAATGATATTAAATATTTTTATGTCGCTTCTGTGAGCTTCTGTGTGTTCTTCTGTTGACCTTACGTGAATTACAAGTTTAGTGTAATATAGGTAAACGTAATTAATTTTTTTAATGTTTATAACCTTTTTTACTGTAGTTTTTTGTATACTCTATCAACGCTTTCGTCTTTTCAATATTTTTGCTAAATAGTAGGTAAGAAGACAATTAAAATGTGTCAAATTAGATTGTTACTCACATAAATCATGTTCTAGTAAATCATAGGTGAATGCGATATGAATGATGAACAAGCTTAGTTAAAATTAATAGAAAAAAATCCTCCATTCAAGATTCAAACCTCATTATAAAACGTAATGAAGCAATCCTCGTTATGTACACGATCAAATAGGTTTTTTTTCTATGTATGTGGTCTAGTTTTCTTTAATAATCAGGTAATAAATAACGATAAATACGGTAAGTAATTATTTTCCCATAGTTTCAACACGTAGCTATAATCTTACTTAATATTATAGATGCGAAATCTTAGGACAATGGATGGATGATTGTAAGAGTTTGCCGCTTAAACAGCTGAACGGATCTCGATGAAATTTGGCATAGATGTAGAGAATAGTCTGGAAGAACAAATAGATATGCTTTTGTTTATTTTTTATTCCACGCAAAGTCAGGGGCTAACGCTCGTAAACAATAATATGAATCAAAATCTACAAACCTTATATCGCCTTTTTGTAGTGAAACTTCTTCGAAGACTACCTTAACGCGGTCTTTTGGTCTGAAAAAGAAAAGAAGGAGAGTCTATAAGACGTTCAGTGTTCAATTCATGATTAAAGGGAGTTGCACAAGTATGCAAAGGCCTGTAGCAAGCAACCACGAAAGCGAACGGACCAAAGCGAAACGTAGCTATAGGTAAAGTAAAAGAAAGCGCCTGTTTATAGAAACTGTAACCCTTCTCTGGGATAACCAAACTTATACCAGGATCGTACCTAAATTGGGTTCGTTTCGGTTTCTTTAAAAATATCCTTTCAAATATATTCCCCAAGAAAAAAACTTTTGAATAAAGAACACTATGTTTACTGACCTGCCATGGAAATGGTATGAGCATCGCACGTTGTTGGGATAACTTGAGGGGTATCGCGGACTGTAGAGCCTGCCGTGTGCCGGCCGGCTGCCGGATCTGCTGAACTGGTAGTCACACTCAGTACTCGGCACTCGCACGCCCTCTGTTTCGAATTGACCTGGCAAAATACAAAATTGGTTTATAAAGGCTTTTCAGATTAGATATTCAAATATATTGTGTAATAAGTTGGTTCATTTTAGTTATGGCGGCTTCAAGTACCTTATTACTAAAAATACATTTTTCTAAAGTTAATGTAATAAATAATAATTCACTCATTACAAACAACATTTCTTTACCTAATTTAGACCAAAATTCGAAACTCTGATTTAATTTTTAAACTCGTTTTCAATGTTTACGTGTGTTTTTATTTTTATAACTCCGCCACATACATGCAAAGTTTACGCAACATATTTCAGCAACTTTGCGTTGTAACAAAACAATCTAATTTACTTGAGTTTGAGTTTATCCCCGTCCGGTCATAAAGCGGCCGCTGGTAATATTAAATTAAGAGGATCAGGTGGTTTCTGGGTTAATTGGCCTAAATGTATGGTGTCACGCTGTGAGATAACAAAGCCTGACAACAGTCATCTCTCTGCGGTTACACTACATAATATTTCGCTTAAATTAGACAGCCCTTCCGTTGTTTAGCTTGAGGTAAATTTTACAACCTATGTGCTATGAATTCCGCATTCTATGGAAGTGGGAAGGCCTCCAACAGTGGGCTGATAATGCGCTACATTATGTCAAATTATTTTATTTTTAACTTGAAGTCGCGTGCGACTTCATCCGCGTGAAATTCAAAATATAACCTATGTTACTCACAGATAAATTACCTTTCCAAAAATAAGACAAATTTTAATATGACCGTATCGAAGTAGTTTTTACGTTATTTTAATGCATACAAAAAGACAAATCTTTCCTTTTTATTATGTTAGTATAGACTTAAGTTTAGTCATTTGACACATGTTAATAACGCAAAATTCATGAACTATGTTAGTATTATTAGAATCTGCTTCGAATGTTAAATTACATAATTGTTTTTACGAAAGAAAAAAGCTCGTGAAATTATTAGTACACAAAGAAATCAACGAGTAATAAAATTAATAAATATTAATACAAAATAAACCCAATCTGTGATGTATCTAGTTACATTTTACAAATGTAGTTTTGGACTGTTGACTTTTTAAATAAGTTTTTCTAAAAGAGGGCTGAGCTTGTAGTTGTAATAAAAGGAATATTTGGTCAATTGTGTTCGTCTGTGGCGGTTTGGAGAAATAAAAAAAGAATTAACGTTCGCCATAATGATGGCATAAAACGTAACTGCTTACGACGTTGTTCCTTTTTATTTAAGTTAGATTTAAATAAGATCTCTTCATTTGTTTATAAAAATAAATTGTATATGAACAAGTGAGCATCAATACAAAACACATTGTTTCTTAAATATAAATAAAAATAGCCTACCATTAAAAGTCCTTATATTTAATTACAAGTTGTTTCCTATGACCTAAATTTAGATTTTTTTTATAATAATGGCGACAAACGAGCAAGTGGCCACCAGAATCCACCGAAATGGAAAGCGATCGCTGCCCATAAACATCCGCAATTGCAGATGCGTTGCCTACTCTTAAATGACGGAGGAGGAGACGCACGTAAAGAGGACATTTCCCCTTCCTATGCGTCTCTTCCACCGTCAAATCCACTTTTCCTGTCCATCCTTTCCTCTTAAGAAAATGGAGGAAAGGGAAAAGGAGTACAATTAGGCCTCTGGCACCACACTCATCAGACGAAACGCGGAACTTCCACTTCACGCCTGTTTTCTGTGTAGTCGTGGTGTAACACCGGGCGAGCCGGCCTATTTTTGCGAAGATGTTAAAGCGGGCTCTACCACTGTTACTTATTGGATTCTAAGTGACCATATAATTTGCGCCAAAAGTACATAATACCCACATACGATTACCAAAATATAGTATTCTAAGTTATTTCTCTATTCAATTGCATTAAAAGTAGTTAAGTATTTATAGACGGAAAGTATCTCGACAATCTGCAGTACCGTGTCTGCTTTATTATTAGCTAGAGACCTGACGAAAATATCCCAGACTCATTTCAGTCTGGCCATTTGGAAAAGTTATTTGTATCCAACTGGCGTCACTGGATTATTCCAGGCTTGTCGACTGAAGTGACATCTACGGGACGAAATGAACTAAAATGTTTTATCGTTATATTTTATATTAGTTGCGGATATGGTTTCTATTAATATTGCATCATACAAATAAGTATTACATGAGTAGTTTTCCCACGGGACTCGATCTGTGCGGAATAAACAAAAATAGTAAGCGTAGTAGTAGCGTATGAATTTTTGTTTTACATCTGTGCCAAATGTCATCGAGTTCAGTTCGGCAGTTTCGGCTACAAACTCTAACAAACATCCATCCATTCAAACATTCGTATTTATAATATTAGTAAGAAGTAAGAGTAAGTTTAGTAGGGGTATTTATAATTTACTAGCTTTTGCCCGCGACTCCGTCAGCTTGGACAGCAAAATAAGTAGCTTATGTGTTCTTCCAGACTATCCTCTACATCTATGCTAATTTCATTGAGATCCGTTCAGTTTCGACTACAAACTCTTACAAACATACATCCTTCCATCTAAGTTTTCGCGTTTCTAGTATTAGAAGGATTAGATACAGTAATTTTTAGACCTAGGTGATATAGTGTTAAAAAGTTTATGTTGTAAAAAATATTATCAAATAAAGAAATGGATTAAAAATGTTATCAAGTGGTTTTCGAGAATGTTTTCAAATATCAACTTTGTAAGGAATAACATAATAATTGAAGTCTAACATCTTATAAGCACGTATTCAGTGGCCAACTATCGAGTATACTCGATTATAAGTGCTCTCAACGATATGAGTCTGGTTTTCTGCGTTCAACATATAAGAGAGTCTTGGAATACATTCAATGTGCTGAATATTAACTTCATTATCGAAGTCAGTGATTCGTAATGTACTTGTATCTTCTGAAACATTCATTTATATTGTAGAGACAAGTTAATAAACTTTAAACAACAACGGGACTCTGAATACATTTATTTAAAAAACTGCTCGCAACTTTGCCCGCGTGATATTGCGTTTCTAATGGTGAAAGAATTATTAAAATTGGCTCAGTAGTTTTTGAGTTATTTCAAAATATACAAAAATGTGTAATTCGAAAAACACAAAAAAGAAATATGTCCCCTTTATAAAGTTAACTTAGATTATATTAAATAGACTTCTGCTTTATTATCGAACTTTTAGTGATCGTAATGTAAATGTACACTCTAAAACTTCTAAAATTAGTAATGAATTATAGAGACAAGCTATGATAAATTTTAAACAACAATAGGACTCTAAATTAGTTTATATTAAAAATTATACTGAAAAGACTTCTGCTAACTTTAAATTATTATATAAAAGTTAATGAAATAATTGCACTGGAACTTTATAAAGAGCATTAGTGAAGTTTCCACCACATAATGTGTTAGGTGTAAGCACCGCAAAATTCACTCGAGCCAAACGAAATAGTTTTTCAATAACGCGAGCAGTTTTGAGCGCAGTGGAGAGTTTTTCATTACTTTTTCAATATAGCAGTCGTTGATGCTATCACTGCGCGGACTGCGCACTGTTATTGTGGAAAATTAAACGTTGCTCTGTTCACGGCCGTATTTTAGAACAGTTTATGTTCAATTTCGTACACGCATCGTGCTTCTACTACGAATAAAGAAAGAAATAAACTCAAAGCAACTCGTACGTTGAAATAACTGTAGAAATAAGATATGCTTTCTGAAACATTGTGAACAGTAAATTTGATGTTTAATAGTAGTGTGTTGTACAATCGCGGAAATCCGCCGTGTTCTTTTTTTTATAATATAAGGTGGCAAACCAGCAAGCGGCCACCTGTATCCACCGAAATGGAAAGCGAGCGCTGCCCATAAACATCCGCAATTGCAGATGCGTTGCCTACCCTTCATTAACGGAGGAGGAGACGCACATAATATGCATCTCTTCCTCCGTCAAATTCACTTTTTTTTCCCATCCTCTTGAGAAAAGAGTGGAAAGAGAAAGGGGCAAAAATTAGGCCTCTGGCACCACACTCATCAGACGAAACGCGGAATTGCTCCCACTTCACGCCTGTTTTCTGTGTGGTTGTGGTGTTACACCGGGCGAGCCGGCCCATTTGTGCGAAGTTGTTAAAGCGGGCTCTATCACACTACTACCACTCTTCCACTTCAGGAAAAATTACCTTATTCCTACAAATAACTAATTAGATAGCAGTGAATGGTGCTATCACTAAGATACTTTTTTCCGTATAGACATTTATATGCGTGGTGTTAGTTTTTGTTTCGTTCTCATTTCAGAATGTTCAAACTATTGTAGCTTTTGAGTTGGAACACCACCAATTTCCTTGATTGTACATTTGATTGGGATTTTTGTGGTTATAACGAATTCGTTTGTTAAATTGTTTCGTGTTCTGTATGCAATGCTCCATATATACAGAACACGTATGGCGCGCACGTAGGAACATAATTGGAATGCATCAACACGGATTAGCGAAGGCAAGTACGAATGACTGGCTTCTAACGCAAGTTACAGCAAATGTATTCAGCGCATTAGATGTTATCTTGTAGCAAACATGCAACAAAATGTTACCACAAATATAGCAGATTATTGTTTAAATTTAATTTGTATTTCTACACTTGTATGTATAAAAATCAATTAAGAAATCAAAAACAAAAGTATAAAGAATAATAAGGTCTATTCTTACTTAGGTCAACGAAAAAGATTATGAATTTAGAGTTACTTTTTTAGTAGAAAATTAGCTGTAATAACAATAGGATTCAATGGACTTAAATAAAAACAAGATTTCTTTTTTTTATAATATAAGGTGGTAAACGAGCAAGCGGCCACCTGTATCCACCGAAATGGAAAGCAAGCGCTGCCCTTTAACATCCGCAATTGCAGATGCGTTGCCTACCCTTTATTGACGGAGGAGGAAAGCCACGAAAAGGCATTTCCCCTTCCTATGCGTTTCTTCCACCGTCAAATCCACTTTTCCTTCCCATTCTTTCCTCTTAAGGAAAAG